AAATGCAGAAAATATTAAAATCTCTAAGTTCTGTCTTTTTCAAAGGCTGAAGGGCTCTAGAAATTAGAATTAGTAGCTTGGAATTGCATGAAGTACTAAGTTTTTGCAATAATTCATGTTTAAATAAAATTGAGAAAGGACAGTGAAAAAAGAGCATTGAGTTAAACTTTTTTGTTTTCCGGAGAAAGGAAGACCACCAGTTGTAGTCATAGAATGTGAACAGGATTCCTAATTGGTGTTACTTTTTTCACCTTTTCTCTATTTCTGTTACTTAACCATATTCAATGTCCAAATTAGTAAGCGAAAAGTTTTGTTAATGCTAACAGAAGATTATTAAGACAATAGATGAAATACTGTCCCTTCTCATGGTGTCTCTAAACAGTGTTTGGGCCAAGTTTAGATAACTGATCATTGTGGCTTACGTGGGTAGAAAGTCAACCTTTGGGCTTTAATCTGAGACATTTGAGTGAAAAGTGAGTGTAGTACTGCCTGGATGGCTACATGTGATACTGAGTTGTTGTGTCAAAAAGCAAGTCCATCCTGGCTACTTCATTTTCAAAATTATGTGGCTGGTACTGACTCACTTTTACATATGGGGTGTATGTGTAGTATAAATAGCTGTGTTTTCTAAAATGAAAGTGCTTCATACAGAGAGATCAAGTGTTTATAACTTCACACTGAGGAATGGGGAAAAATATCATGCCTTGACTATAATACAATTTGGAAAGCTGGGTTGATAAAGGATACTGTCCCTTCCAAGAACAACAGCTTTACCTTCCTGTTCTCCCATTTTTTTTATAGGAGCAAGCCCAAAAATTAGGGCTTTCCCCTATGTCTCCCTCCTTAATCCATCTCTTTTCTCCATCATTTACCTTCAAGAGGCAGGAGTTGTATGCTTATAGCCCTTTGTCTTTGATACAGCAACATTCAGTTTTGCCTCTACTGTTGAGAAGACACAAGCCAAACATGAAAAGCAATAAGAGCTTGACAGATCTCGTTTGGGTGCACATGTAAAGCACTGAGAGAATGAGAGAGGGACAGCCGCTTCAACAACTGTCCTTAGGACTTGGAGGAACTAGAGTAGAACTCCTCCATATACATGCTCAGAAGAGTCTTCACCTAAGATCCCTCATCGAACCAATGCTGCATAATGGCCTACCATGAAGACATACATTTAACTGTCTCTGTCTAGAAGTGCAAGCAGCTCCTACTTGAAATAGCAGCTATGCGTTTTGTTACACGCAGCTTTCATAATTTCATATATTTCCAGGGGAGAAAGACTGCATGTGGAAAACAGGGAGGCAGGGGGTTAGGTGAAAAAACTAGAGAAAAATAGACTTTTTGGATATGATGCAGCTTTACAGAGAGGCTCTGGTTTTGTAGAGATGGACAAATAACTTCCCTATCTCCAGTGCATGCCTGTAACTTCAAATTTGCAGCCAAACACTAGAATGCCTTCCCTAGTTCATCAAACACAAAATCCCAGACTATATCAAAGTACAGGGAATGTTACTTCAACATCTTCTAGTGAAAAGACACTAGAGTTCTCTCATTTTGTTTCTTTGTTTTTACATCATTTCATCAGACAAAGCCTCAGCAAGAGTATTCAGTATTCTTCTAGCCAGTGGATTACCTGTACTAGGTGGGACATTCATTCTATCTTGATTGAGGTGAAATTATTATATTAACAGGAAGACAATCAAAACAAACAAAAAACCTCCCACATATAGTTTCTGGGAAAAAAAGTCCTTAGTTTTTGGCAGTGGCACTGGTTGTAAGTGCCACTGACTTTTAAAAAGGTTTAAACACTTAAATGCCTTACCACATTTGAAAACAGGACCTGAACATCTAGTTGACTCAAATGCATTGGGAAATTGTACACAGGGTTAAGCTAGATAACCTATTAATTTATTTATTTATTTATTTATTTATTTATTGTAGTTGACATGCTCCTCAGAACCATTTTAAAACATACACCTCAGGTTTTGACTGAATCTTTTATGTATAGCATTGTTGTGAGCCCATTGATCATTATTTTTGTTCTATTGCTCCCACCTGGAAAGAATGAGCCTGTAATTGAAAAGGCAAATTTAGCATTTATGTTGGTAATAACACAGTTTCATTGCCATTCTCCCCAAAAAGAATTTGAACATTATGGTGAACCATATCTCATTGATAAGTGAATGGAAGGGAAGTAAAGCTTTCTCATTACCAGGTCCTTATGAGCCAAGTCATTTTTTTGTTGAGCAGAGCCTTCTATTGTGCTGTAACAATTACTTTTGCTCCCAGATATGATAACTCTTTGAAGCTGTACCTGGGAGACGCACACGATCTACATTAGCAGGGGAGTAACACAGTGTTGGCTGATAAACTAATCTCATTTTCTGTGCACCTGATATTTTATTGTGGAGGTTTTTTTCTTCTAATGGTGAAAGCCATGGACTCTGAATTGAATAATTTAACTCAGCAGAATAAATTACTTAAATAAAAGATTCAGTTTGAGATTATAAATTTCTTTTTGAACCTTCTGTTGAAAACATAATGCTTTAGCACTTTTTAGCTAGCTAGAGATTAGAGGAGTTTGAATAGAGTCATGTTATGCCAGCAGGTTTGTATGTATGCTATTTGAGGACACCGTTTCAGACTAAAAACTTTCAGTAAGCTCCTGAATCACACTGTGATTAGAGGGATGGTATGGATAAGTGCCACAGCAAGGCAGTGAAACTGTCTTCATTTATCATAAATTACAACTAGCATTTGAAGATAAAACACATGAAATACTAGCTGGAGGGTTAATTCTGAGAAATTATTAATATCATAAAGTCAACAAAATTACTGACTGTCACAAAGTGGGTTTGCTACTTTTCAGTAGTCTATGTGCAGATTAAATGCATATGTATACCTAAACTGGCAAAACAATCTAATCTGTACCTTTAGCTATGAATTTAGGGAAGTATTTTCTGAAGTAACATGGATTTTAAAATGTCTTGTTGGTTAGTATTATACCTGACTGTTTTTTGGTTTTTTTTGACCAACCCATACTTGTGATTAATAAAACCCCTTATTATTGTGTAAAGTAACAGTCCCTTTATACAGTTGTACCAGAAGACCCAGGTATCTCATGCGCTCAGAGTCGAGTATACATTGCAGGACATGTAGAAAAAATTAAAAAAGCAAATTTAAAGCTTCTATGTGCTCATATTCAAACAAAAAATCCATACAGATTCCAGTACAAATCTCTGTTTTGCTGAGACATCCTCAATTTTATTCATTGTACAGGTAAAAGTGGGCCCCCTGACTTCAGACATTGATCAAAATGCCAATATACTTGATGTCAAAAATTTGTGCCCTGAATATTAAATAAAATGATCCTGACAAAGAAGGGAACAGAAGATTATACTTCTATACAACTCTATGGTTCTTTCAGCTGGAGAAAATTAATAAAAAAGAAAAACATGTTATACACACAGCGCTCATCTCTTCTGCTCAAAGGAGCAAGTGGACACAGTCTCTCACTAGTCATGGTTATCTAGCCTGCAGAACACCATTGTATTTAAAGGTGTGGAGGCAAAAACACTCAGATAACTGGAGAGTTCTGGCCTCTTCCATATCCACTGAGTTGCTTCAGGCAACAGAGCTTTTATATCTGCTCATGGCCACTAAATTACCTCTTTGCATGCATCTGGTAGATGCATGCAATTTATTTGCATGAAATTTTTTTGGTGTTTTCCAGTTTGTTCCTGCCTCCCTTTCCTGAAGACTGAAGATACGAAGGACAAATACTGAAATGCTGTTCATATGCCAGTATTCAAGCTGTGCCGTTTGTTGGCCATCTTCTCCATCAGCTGCCAGTTAGAGTTTTACATGCCTGGGTAATGCAGCTGCACATTGGAAAGCAGAGATGAGTTTATTGAAGAGCTTCCCACAAGTCTGCTTCCTTTCTGAATGCTTTGGGCTGGAGCATCCTGAAAACAGACACTCACATATCCCAAGGAGAAGTCAATAAAACCTGTATGTGGCTCCTTTTCTTAGCTTTGCCTCAGTGGGTACTGGATGCTGCCACACATCGATTGTCCTTGCTGATTTTACGTCCCAGCTGGGTAGGGCTCGCCACTCTGCTCACAGGCACCTTTATGCATTTTACAGTGCTGAGGCTCAGCAACAACCCTGCCACTGAGGGTATCTACAGACTGATTGCTCTTTCTTTGAAACTGTTAGGACCAGCAGCTGTTTTCAGCCTCCTCACTTTTTCTATGCCAGGCGATCCAATCATTTTGACTTTCCAGTTTCACTTATAATTTTCTAAAAATATCCATCTGTTTCATACTCATTCTCCTCTGATCACTATCAAAAGAGGAAAGAACATTACCTGTCCCTGTCCCAGCTAAGGGTCTGAGCATCATACAGCACTTGTAACTGTGTAGAATGTGACTGTCACAAATAGGAAAGAATAAATCAATAGTTACATGAAAGAAAATACCTGTTAATCCTGATGCTATCTTATGTCACCCTAGGCTGCATGCTCCAGACTCTGCCTGCCCTAAGTTAGGTACCAATGTAGTATGACGAGCAAGAACAGGCAGCCTGACAGTTGCACCAAATGTGGTCTGAATGTGTTTTGAAAATACCACTTGTGTTACCAGACCCCTCTAATAAAGCTTTAGGTGCTGATGATTGTTCTCTTTGTCCACTACTGAGACTGAGTTTTCAAATGGAATTACTGACATTCATACTCCTGTTTAGGAACTGTATGTTACTAGTAGGTGTCTAGTGAACGCTACTAAATCAGGCACTGTCATCCATGCACTCCATGTGCCACTCCCATCAAACTATCTATACTAGAGGCTGATGCAACCCTTTATTGTTGGACTTATCCAGAAAGAACTCTCCTTTTTTTGAAGAAATTCCTCTGTGGGTTTCTCTCCAGGTTTCCTGGGTAAAAGCAAGATTTCTTATTATTTCTTATTATTATTCTTATTATTATTATTAATCTCATTTAGGAATCGCTGTGGCTTACCAGGAGACACCAGGTGTGATGACCCCTCTGCAAGTATGCACAGACATTCAGTATGCAGGTAAATGGAATAAAGATTAATTTATCCTTCCCTAAGAACCAGTGAAAATTCTCTGCAAACTCACAGAAAGACATATTAGCAATCTGTTTTCAGATGATAATTGCAATTAAACTTTATTTCACTTGCTTCAGGTAAAATCATCATCCTCAAGAAAAATTCAGGCGGAAGCACCTTACCACCCAACAGGCTTTTAAGCATAGAATCAGAATCCTACTGGAGAAGTTTGCACTATGAAAACAGTTACAATATGAAGTTGCTCACAGGCAGGTAAAAGCCATCACATCTACAGATGCGGACAAAGGTACTAATGTCCATGTGATTTCCATAGTATTCTTAATTAGCTTGGAAGGTACATCAGACTGGCAAGATGACTGCAAAAGAATAATTTTTCTACCCAAAGCATATAGTCTTTGGAAAAACTGTTCAATTCCTGGTTTTCATCTGCCTTTAATAACCTTAGTGAGCTGTTTAAAAGTAAATCTGTGAATCAAATTTATTTTGTAATTAAAAAGTGAGTTTTAAATATGATTTGATTAAACAAAGCTCCTCTTTCCATCTAAGGTTTCAAGTGAAATTCTGCCTTCTTACACAGACCACAAAATGAGAACCTTGTAAATCAAAATAATACCATGAAGAGCAGTATTTCTTAACAACACTTATGTGATAGGAAGGTATGCTGAAAAATACTTACAAATCAAGCCAATGAAGTGTTGTGAAGAAATCTTAGATTCCCTCCCAAACACAGAGTAGAGTGACTGTACACAATTTTGTAAGAGGCTGCATATTAGAAGTGTCCTGCCCAGCATGGGATCAGATTTTTGTGCTCTCGCATCTTATTTACTTACTTTCTGATGGAGATACTTCATACAGGGTGTTCACTTGATGTTTATAAAACAGTATACACACTATGCTACTTTCATTTCAAAGAATGTATTTCGCTGCTGTTATAAGGCAAGAAACTGTGTTTCATCCTATGACAACCTCAAGCTGTCCTTGTAGCCCTAAAGGTCCCTTGCCAATGAAAGGCACTGAGTTCCAAGCGCTCCTAAGAGGACTAAGTGTCTTTCTAGGCTACTGGGTCAGTTTTGACACAGAAGGAGATAATCCGGACAGATCTCAAGGGGATTTGAGAGGAAGCCAACAAGATGATCCTCCTAGGGAAGGAAAATAACAGCAACTCTTTCCAAAAGCAAAAAAAATCTTCTTTTTGAAAGATTCTCTAAGGGACTAATCCTCAGCTAGCCTAAGATCTTAGTATTTAAAGCACACCAAAAGAAAAGATCTACACTGAAACAGTGCTCTAGTAGAGTGCATCAGTCCAGAAAGCCTAAGCTTGCAAATATATTATAATTACAAGAGCAATATGGCTAAATGTTGGTAATGAAGGCTACCTGTAAATATGTACTCAGGGTAAATTCAGCATTCCAAGTAGCCATAAAACAGAGTTCTAATATTCTTACAGAAATTAAAAGCAGGTACACTGCCTGCATGAAATGCCTGGAAATAAAATTTTTCTGCCAGCAGTGTGCAGCCTGCATTTGATTATAGCTAAGTCAACTTCTTTAAATAAGTACTGAAGTAGTGTCAATGTCACTGATCCTTTCTGAGGGACTCTATTAGAAACCACATTAATGAGTGAAGGAATAGAAGTACTGATCTGTATCACTCAACTCAATGTGAATTGATACCACACCACAGACAAGTTGATGTCTTGACTTTTGTCACCTTGAAGCCTGCAAGTGGTCTAGGTTATACTCAGCTTCTGCTTACTGAATCTAATCTTATTTGCTTTACTTTCTTCAATAAATCTGTTCCTCAATAGGACAAGCAGGGAAAAATTATTGCATGGTAATGATGTTCCAAGTGGTCCTTTAAAGTCATTAAAAAAAAAAAAGGCAAAGCAAGTGTTTCATAGAAAACATTGATTCAAGAAACTAATTTTCACAAGTCATTTTCTCTTCGCTATTTTAGCATTAATCAATACTTAATAATGAAAACATGAAGTTTCAAATTTGCTTCTATTTCCAAATCACGGTACAATGTTATTACGTATTGTAGAAGACCTGAAGCATTATTTTAAAATAAATAATCCAGCACATATTCTTCATTTCTATGTCTGTATTCACTGATGCTGTAGATACAAACCCATCTTTTTTCACTTGCATGGTTTCTCATAGAGTACCTTGCAGAGCTGACTCACCTTCAGAGAAGTTACCAGAATCTTTTCTACTTCCTTTACACTACACCTCTTCAGTACTTTTGGGAGCAGTGAGCTACTGGCTTTTCTTTCACTCCAATTTCCTTGAATCCAAGTGAAATAGCAAAGTTGCTAGATAGGTAAACCATGCAATTCAGTTGCCTTGGCTAATTATTACATGTCATTTTTAGTACCTTTTTAGGTACTAAATGGCCAACTTTTTTTAGAATGGCCAACTTTTTGGAAAACTTTATTATTAAAAAGCCTGAAACCTTCTTCAAAAGAACAATTTGCCTCTGTATGTATTGGATGAGTAGTAAAATATTTTGCACCTGACATGATTCTCTATATATTTTAGATCAAAAATTTAGTAATCTAGTTAAAAAGGAGCATGCAGACATTTTTAAGGATTAAATCACACTCATTGGGAAAAAATATATTTAAAAAATCACTTTTATCGGCATCATGAAACGTAATACCAATTGTCATTCACACACATACACACACACCTTTCTTTGTACTACTGTTCTTTCTTTGTACTACTGTTTGGGTTTTTTATCCCTTACTCATTTCACTGTAATTTGGCACCAAACAACACAACTGCATTCATTGTTCAAAGCCATGCTCTTTTACTTCACCTTCAGAGGCACAAGCATGAGGCCCTCCTGCAGTCTTCCATGCCTTTCTGTTCCACACTGGAAAGGAAAACACACTAACATTATTCCATCACGGAACCCGGGCCTCGGCGGTGAGAGCGCCGCATTCCCCCGGGCAGATGGAGCTCGTCAAGCCCTGTAAGGGCATCCATCTAAAAGAAGGTCACTCTAAACAAACCTACGTCCTGAGGACCTCACTGTCATTGTCCAAGCTCGCTTGGCCCCGGCAGATGAACCTTAGGATTAAAGGGTGGGCTCAGTTCAGCGCATGCTGTGTCTCACCTAAAAAATCCATTGCACAGGCTTGAAAGGTAAAACACCTTTCCCAAATCTTCGTTCGCGAAGACTGGCCATACATACACATTCCATCACGGAGGCACACAGCATGTGCAGTTGGCTCACAAAAGTGTAAGTTTAAAGTAATATCTGAGCATATTCAGGCATTCCAGTCACATTATCTCATCAGGTTATTTTCAAGAGAGTAAGACCATTTGGAGAAGAGCTCTAGGCAGAATGGCACGGAGGCTGAGGATAAAAGCTCAGAGGCATGGCAGAGAGGGCAGGACAATGGGATCAGAACTGCTGGGCACATGAAAGAAAACTGGAGACTTGACTGCAAGCCATTCTTTCCCACTCAGACTTGAATTTCCCTGCTGGAGTAGCCAGTTGACACATGTAAAAGCAGAATCCATCTCCATCTTATAATTTAGGCACTGTGAATGAACTTAGACAACAGGGAAAGTGTGACTGCTTGTGTGAATCGGTGGTCACTCCAGACCTTGGTGCACTATAGCTTCCTACAATTGCAGCCTTAGAAATGTTTAGAAGAAAAAGAAAAGATCTAGGATATGCTTCCCTTCCCTCTCCTTCTGACCAAAAAAAATGATATTTTAAATAGGATTTGGAAAATGAATATTTGTCTAAATGATAAGAGGCTCACAGTTTCAGTTCAACATCTGTTGCTTCCTTTGAGAGGTTTGGGGAGTTGTCAAGGGGTTTATTTTTTTTAATTGAGCAGTTTAATTTTTTTTTAATTGCTATTGCTTTATGATATTGGTATAATTTAACACATTAGGATGATATAATGACCAGACACTGCACTGCTGCTTCACTGAAGAATAGCACACAGCTGCCTGTGCTTTGTACAAGTAAAGCATTGAAAATAATAGCCTTGTGATGAAAGCACATTGAGTTGTTAATCACTTTCTAATATTCTATACACAGAAATATTCTTGAGATATCTGAAATTAGACACAAGAGGCAAAAGAAGGCATCATTTTTGAGTGGCCATGTGACAACTATGGCCATCTAACGATATGTGTGTAGAAATTGCTCTACTTGAATCCACAGTAGAAAGAATACCTAGCCTTTCCCTGTTTGACATATCTGTCAAACTTGTAATTTTCATTTCAGAAGAGTAAGTCCGAAATAGAATAGAAGATGATGATTCAGATGTGCCAATGCTGAAATTATATCAGCTGGGGAAAGTACAAAGGTATAATATATGTATCTGAGAAGAGACAACTAAAGACATAAAAACAAAAAGTAAAAAATATCAAAGGATCTGAACAGATTCAGAAATGAAAAAGTACATTCTTTCTATGGGTCTACTGAGATATATTTCAAATATGAAGTCATTACCAGACAATATAGCCTTCTTTAAGAAACTTAAGCCAGCATTCAACTTACATTGATCAGTCTCTTGAGTGCATTAAAAAGAACGGTTTGGACAAAGAGTAAAAATCAAGTTTTCTATAAAGGACAAGCATTCATTAACATCTATCTGTTTATTGGAATAATCTTAAGATTTAAGATAGTAAACATTAGAAATGCCATACTAGTTCAGGCCTATGGTCCATCCTTCCCAGTATTTGCTCTCCGGTAATGGCAAGAGCAGATGCTGTTTATATAATAAAAGCATGCAAGCCTGCCCACTCACTATTGTCTACCCCCTCCACGCTTTCCTAGCCTCCACAGTGTAAGTTTGGTTTTAAAGTGAAGCTTGTTAAAGGGTGCCATCCCTGTTTACTTTTATCAGTTTAGGAACCTACTGCATGTGATCATTTATCCCCATTGGTTTTTTTCCAGCCTGCTGATACAACCTACCTCCTTAACCTCACATCCCATGAAGTTCATGAAGCTCACTGCTAGACAAGAACAGTACTTTCTCTTATCCATCCTGATCTGCTCTGCTAGTTTTCTCATGTGGCCCTTGGCTGTACCACCGTGGGATTTGATCACCAGCAGTTCAGCATTCATCACTGCCCTTGTGGTTTTTGAGCCTCAGCCACATGGCTCCTCCTAAGAACTCTCCTCTCTAAAATGAACACTCTATTCTTTTCCTCATAACATATCTCTTTCAAGCTTTCAACCAATTTAGCTGCCCTTCTCTACCTGCTTTACCTCTGCTACCTGTTTCTTTCAGTCACAGGCAACACAAAGTAATGCTAGCAGACCCAGGACCTGGGTGAGGGTCAGCAGACAGGCAGTATGTTTGCAGAATAGCAGCAAGCTGGGAGGAAGCAACATGGGGTCATTTAAAACATGCTACGTTACATTCCTTCCAAACATCAGACTGCCAAGACCAAAGGAAGGGTAACTTCCATTTAAAGAAATATGCATATTTGCCTATTTTATTATATAAAATAAAAATGTATGGATGGGTTATAGAGGTTTCCCATCCTTTCCCAATGAGTTCCAAATGCTAGACTCTCTCAGCTTGCTGTCATCTGTGACGTCCAAAGTTAGTAAGACAAATTCATCAGGGGCAAAAAAGATGAGTCCCATAGTATATTTTCTGATACTGCACTCTCAAGTCTCAGCTTACCCTTCTTTATGGGAGGCTCTTAAAGATATAATATAGCAATATGAACTTTTCCAAAAAATTAGAAATTAAATTGACTAGCACAAAATCATTTGCAAATCATTCAAATGCATTTGTAATACATGGTTTGAAATTCATGCTGCATTACTCAGTCACCCAGCTTATTCATATGGGAGTAATGAAACTGTTATCTGACTTGCATATTAACTAGTCTAGTACAAATCAAAGTATACATCTGACTTTCACCTAACAGTTTTTGATTGAGCTGCAAGTTTCAAGATTATGACCAATTTAAGAGGAAGGTGATTTGCAAAACTGGCCACCAGAGCCCTACTTGTAAACTTTTATAGTGTGCATGTAATTAAAAATTTGCTTCCAGCTTTGAGCATTTATGCTTCAAAAATATGTTTTCCTCACCTCTTATTACCAAAAAAAAAAAAAAAAAAAGGCATTTTTGGACAAAGGTTATTACAGTCAAACTAAGACCAGCCTTCAATTCAAAATCCACTGGGCATATTGTAATAAATCTGAAGTATAATTGAAATATGGGTTTCTTTTAGAACTTAAGTTTCATACTTAATTTGAAGTAGGGTATTCTTCTATGTTGACTACCACACAAAGAAACAGAAATAAATTCGAAGTAAGCTGAAAGAAAGATAAATTTTTATGGTTTTTATCAAATTTGGAACTGTTGTTGGTCAGATAGACTGACTTTCTGAACAACATCTAGCTGTTATATGACAGACAGCTTACTTTTACCTGTTACTGTCACCTAGAGACAACAGTCAGGCATTCAGGGCATTTTCTAAAGGTGTCTTAATGGCAGTGTGTGATTCAAAGAAGAGTACACAAGAGAAGTTGTAAATATATACAAATAATGAAAAAGCATTTAAGTTTTGTACATTTTTGGCTGTTAGAGGATTTTAGAAGTTCCTAAAATGACAACAGAAATGCGAAACAACTACTGAATCACCTTCTTAAAAGGCTAGTAGATCTGTATTTTCGTATTGCAGACTGTACCACCGTATTCCAAATATTTGTTTTCCTCTACTTCCATCTAATAAAACTGATTTCAATCCAAAACACATAATGAATTTGGGAGGAAAAAAAAGAATATGTTATGAGACCTCAGTGTATCAGTTCCAAATATATGGTTTACAGGACAGTATTTTGCTTGCAAGATCTTCTGATAGTCTCAACTACAGGAAATTAAATGGCAGAAAACAAAGCATTTCCCAGAGTGTTAGTGGCTCAGCATTGCAGCCTGTGAAACAAAGCAACATAAGAGCAATATTGCAGGGAGCGTTAACTCATACACTCACTAGGCATCTAGTATGTGTGATCAGGTAGAGAAAAACAATTTCCAGCTATAAGTCTTTTGTTAATGTTTTGCTGTTGTAATTCAGAACAGTGGTACTTTCTCACTTTGGAATGAGAAAGGAAAGCACTGTTAATAACAGTGAGGAGGGTTGACTTGTGAAAGATGAGCCAGGATATTGCCTGAAACAATGACTCACAAAACAGATGTCAAATGTAACATTATTTACATCAAAGGCATTATCAAAGATCCCTCTTACTTTTCTAATTCTTTCTTTTGTTCTGCATGTCACCTTTAGTAGACTGAAAGTCATGCTTCATCCTTTGTGGTGGAGGGCACAGGAACAGACGGGAAAGACACAATGCTTCGGAGCAGGGAGAAATAAGTCCTCCTGTGTTTTGATAACAAAAACCCAGAGCAATCACCTACAAAGAATACACTAATGATATTTGAAATTTCAACCCACAATTGTAACTGGGCTTCTATGTCAAAACTGATCACAAAGTTAGGTTTGGTTCTAAAATATGACTATGAATAAATGCCATACTTGCCATAGAGGAAGTGACTCTAGTATGTATGGGTCAAGCTCTGTCTGCTACTGGAGCCTGCATGGTACATAAGTAACAGACAACAGTGGTAAGGGCCTTGTTTCTGCTGTACTCTGTATTTAACGAAGATGTACAGAGTGTCACCTTCACTTTGGAACTAGGCACTTGTGTAGGTATTAGTTAACCAGCTAGTTATGATATTAGCATGGACTTATATAAAAAATAAGGAGAAGAGTTTACCTTAAATGAATTGCAAAATCCAGGGCATCAGAGGAAACGAACTCTAAATGAAGAATTTCTCTGTGCTAATATAAACACTGAAGTGCATCACCTATTCATTAAAGCTTTAGGAACCTTTGTGAGAGAGGGTTGG